AAAAAAAAAAAAAAAAAAAAAAAAAAGGCAAAAGAAAACCAAAACAAAAAAACAAAAACAAACAAACAAAAGCAAACAAACACCTCTGGTAAAAACTTCCACTTGTCCTCTGGTTCATTGGGCCTGTAGAATCAGAAGAGAAAACTTGAAATCTCTGTTTTCATGTCTTATATGTTTCCTTTGCTGCCTTAACTTATGTGTGAAATTCTCCTCAGCTCTGCATGTAGACATGTTGATCTTTTTTTGTTCCAAACTATAAACTAGGGGTTACTTGACCTAGACTTGTCTCTTCTCTCTCCTTCCCCTTCAAGGTTGAAGACAGCCACTGGCCTCCAAGCCCAAGGATAGCAGGCCATGAACAGAGCACAAGGAGCAGCATCAGATCTGGAAGGTCTCTGCCCCTGAGTGAGAAATGCACTACTTCTCCCTTTTCCTAGTCTGTCTGCCTCACTTGTAATTTCTGACCCGTATCTGTAATCCCGCAGCTCCCTGGACCTGAGAAGTTGACTTACAAGCAAAAATCTTGCTTCTCTATTCTTTGGCTGCTTAGGAAAGCCTTGTCTTATTTTATCTTATTGATTTTCTTATCACGTATTAAATGTGCAAACAGTGGCCTTCACAGTGATGTTTGCATACAGGCATACTTTATAAAAGGGCCTCGTTCCACCTCTCTCTTTCCAGCCTTCTTTCCCAGTTCTAATAGCCCTCTTCTACTTTGAGATCCTCTTTCTCTCAGTTCCCAAATATCAATTAATGCAGTTTAGGCTGGACTTCAATTACTGTGTAACCTAGGCTGGCCTTGGACTCACAGTGATCCTCCTGCCTCAGCCCCAACTGCTGAGATTACAGGTGTATGCCACTATGTCCAGCTTTTAAAAAAATATATTATTAATTAATTAATTTTTATTTGATATAGGGTCTCACTATGCAGTTCAGACTTCCCAGCGCTGGGATTACAGGCGTACATTATCCCACCTGGTTTTGGTGGTCAGCATGGTGTAGGGCCAGCACAGCATGCAGTAACGGGGATCAAACTCAGGTCCTTGTGCTTGCCAGGCAGGTACTTAGAGCACCAAGCTATCTCTCCAGCCCTATGCCCAGCTTTTGGGGACATTCTTGATCTAAACCATGATGCTTGTCTATGTCTGACATATCAATCAAGTGGACGTTCATTTTTCTGCAAATGACAGAGTTCTGTTCTTCATGGCTGAATAATACTCTATTGTATATATGCAAATCTCTCTCTCTCTCTCTCTCTCTCTCTCTCTCTCTCTCTGGTACTGGGGATTGAACTCTGGACCTTGTGCATGCCAGTCAGGCACTTATCGCTGCTGAGCTGCCTCCCCAGCCGAAACCTTACTTTCTTTACCATTCATCTGTGGGCAGACATCTCGGCTGACTCCACATTTTGGCAATTGTGAATAATGCTGCAATAGAGAAGGATGTGGCAGGTGATCGTTTTTTATGTTAATTTCACTTCCTTTTCTTTTTCTCTACATTCTGCTTCCTTTTCTTTTTCTCTACATTCTTGCTGCATTTGTTTTTTTTTTTTAAACTATTTTTTTAATGGTCCTTCATTTAATATATTTTTATTTTTTATTATTTATTTATTTATTTTGTGTGTGTGGCCAGCTCAGCCCACCAGGGGGCAGGGCTGGCTGGCATGTGGTGCTGGGGGATTGAACGGTGGTCCCTGTGCTTTGCTTAGCTTAGCTTGTTCTAAGAAGGTGCTTTAGACCACTGAGCCATCTCACCAGCCCACTGAGCCATCTCACCAGCCCCCAGCATTTGTTATTTATTAACAGCCATTCTAACTGTGGTGAGAGGGACTCTCAGTGTGATTTTTTTTTTTTTTGCGGAACCAGGGATTGAACTCAGGCCCTTGTGCTTGCCGGGCAAGTGCTTATTCTACTGAGCCATCTCCCTGGCTCTTTCTCAGTGTGGTTTTGATTTGTATTTCCCTGATGGTTAATGTTCAGCATTTTTTCCCCATATATTTACTGAAAAAGTCTTTCTTTCTCTTCAACACTAGTCTCGCAGACATTGGTTTTCCTAGTTATTTCATTTCATTTATTTATTTTTTGTGGTACTGGGGCTTGAACTCAGGACCCTGCACTTGCCAGGCAAGTGCTTATTCTACTGAGCTATCTCCCCAGCCCTATTTTATTTCTTTTTGAGACAGGGTCTCACTATGTAATTCAGTCTGGTCTTGAACTGGCTAGTAGCCCAAGCTGGCCTTGAACTCATGGCAGTCCTCCTGCCTCAGCCTCCCAAGTTCTGGGTTTACCAGTATGCATTACCATGCCAGGCTTCAGACATTGGTTATGGATGATTTGGATATCAGTGCTTACATAGTGTTTTTTCCCCAAAGCCAGAAACGAGATTTTGTATTCAGTAGGAAACTCAAGATTTCCAAAAGCTACTGAAATTATGATGAAAATTCAAGAGGCCATATCTTTAAAGGAGACAAGTGGAGAGACATTTGGCTCTGAGAAAGCTGAAAATCTGAGTGGAGAGATGGGAAAAAATGGTTAGATGAAAATCAAAAGACTAGTTGTGTTACATTGGTAATCTCAGGAAACAGTACTAGTAAAGTATTCTTGAATGAGTTAACTCCATCTTTCTAGGACTCCATTTCTTTTCTTTTTAATTAATTATTTTGGTACCAGGAATCAAACTCAGGACCTTGTGCTTGCCAGGCAGGCACTGTGCTACTGAGCTATGACCCCGGCCCTTCTTTTATTTTAAAAATTATTTTTATGTCTTTATTATTTTGAGATAGAGTCTTGCTATGTAGATCAGGTTGGCCTTAAACTTACTATGTGCTACCCGAACTAACTGCAATCCTCCTGCCTCAGCCTCCGTACTGCTGGGATTACAGGCAGGTGCCATTTGTACAGTGGGGACTGCAGAAAGGCACTGCTGAAGACTCCTGGTTTCTGAGACCTATCTTGGAGAACGGGCCCTGTCTCCGTAGCTGCAGGGGTCATTGCCCCGCCAATAAGCACAGGAGACCCTGTCCTGCTGAGGGCGTGGGCTGCCCTGCTCCAGTGAGCTCACAGTTGCTTCACGTGAAGTCCGCGTGCACAAAGGCCGCGGTCCGAGTTCGAAGGCCGCAACTGCGGCACCAAGACATTGGTCTACACAACACTGACAAGTGAGATGAGGTCTCTAGACCACTGCTCTGGAGGCTCTACGACCCCAGGCGCCTCAACCCGCCCTGAGGAGCCCCACACCCGGCTGGCCATTTACTTTACCGCGATTGGTCGCTGCGGAGAGCACGGCGTCGCGCCTCGCTCTGCAACGCCTTAGCTCCGCCTCCTGGCCCATCGCCCCTCCTCTTAGAGGTATGCCCCGCCCCCGGCCGTTCACTTTCTGCTCGCTGATTGGTCACTACCATTCTCACGGCGTTTTACCCCGCCCCACGGCGCCCTCACCTCGCGCCCGACGCCTGCTCACCACTCCAGGGCCTGAGGAGGAGCCGGCGGACATCGACTCAGTTACTGTGCAGGCTCCTCCTCCGGCCTGCAGCTTTGGGGGTCGGCGTGGGTGTCGGAGAGACTCAGGTGAGCGCGGTTGGCTGGTCTGGGATGCGCGAGGCCCCACGTCCAGGCGTGGGAAGGTGCCCCCCAAGCCCGCGGGCCCGGCCCTGCCTGAGAGGGGCTGCGGCGCAGCGCGTCTCGGCCGGGACTCCCGGCTCCCGACATCCCTCGGGTGACCGAGGCCGTGACACGGCCTTGACCCCCACCTGCCGGGCGTTTTCAGAGTCTGGAGAGGTTGCCGGCTTCCTCTTTGGGGGCCTCGCGGCGACGGGCACGGGAGAACACGGACGCCCGGCCCTTCCTCTGTCCTGCGTGCGCTCCGACCTATTGCTGGCAATCTGTGCGTGTACCCTGGACTTTTCTGACTCCATCAAGCACAGAGATGGGGGGAAAGTGGGAGAAAAGGACCCCGAGTCTTCCGAGAATAAATCATGAGTGTGGAGTGGCCTTTAAGGTGCAGAGCGGCACGGCGCTGTGTCCGTATGTCCCCGGAGCCAGGTCGTTGTGGGGGAGGCCACTTCAGGCATTAAATGGGCTTCTGAGGTAACCCTGGAAGGTAGATCTCTGACCTTTCCCGAAGCGGCCGGCGCGCTGGCTTGCGCGGTTCCCGCGTCCCTGCGCTGCTCTGCGGCGACGGGAGGAGGGGCGGGGATTGGAGCGCCCGGGAGTCGGAGGTGGAAGCAGCATCTTCCCTCCAACTCTGCATCCTGCTTATACTGTCAATCCCTTTTCCTGGCGGTTCCGGAGACGCTCCTTCCCAGGCTTGTCATCTTTTTTCTCGTCTTCCGTCTCTTACCAACCTGCTTAAGTTTCCAGTGGAGAGCATACACGAAAACATTTTAACCCACAGTGCTGTTGCAATGTTCCTCGATGTTAAGATGGAAACCAAAGGTTTTTTGTGACTATTGATTCCCTGGGAAAAGCAGGCATAGCTGGAGCTGGGTGAGGATGTATTTTTCCTCTTTGGGAAACACATTGTTTCCACTACCTCTTGTACCACTTAGGATCCTTTCACCTGGCTGATCTTTTTTGAATTCACTTCTGGGTCCCAAGGTAAAGAGGTATCTTATTTTATCCTTTGTGGTTTTCAAACAATAGACGTAAAGTTGAGTTGTAAAACAGGTATTACAAAAGAATAGTAAGTAAAATATCAAATACTGCATAGATGTGTTAAGAAGAGAGAATTTCTTTGTTTTTATCACTCTTTGTACTTTAAAAGTCCCAGTTCCATTCCAGAGAAGGCGAACACAGTATGTTATTTGGTGACTGACATAAAATGACAAATTTCTTATGAACATTTTCATATCGTATGAACTTTAATTTTAAAATTCATTGTATACCATTGTTCAGATATACAATGTTCTTTTTTGGTCTTTTATCAAAGAACTTTGACTGTTTCTGAGCTTTAGCTATTAAAAGCCTTGTCTGAAATAATTTTTGGCATTGAAGGATGGTTGAAGTAAAAAAACAAACCCAACCAAAGGTTGGTTGAAGTAGATCCCTCTTTCTAACGTATAATAATACTTTAGTATAATTTATACCTATAGTATAATTTAGTATAATTTATGTTATGTCAGAACGTAACAATTTTTTTTATAATTTATAATTTATAAGATTTTATAATTTAATTAATAATTAAATTTAATTAATAATTAATAATTTACAAGATTTTATAATTTAAAGGCAGCTGCCAAACATATTCTTAGGATCTGTGTGACCCCTTATACTGAAAGTCTACATCAGAGAAAATTTGGAGTACTGTATTAATAGCAAATTTATGAACCTTGTTACTGCTGAGTGGTGTTGACCTTAAGGTTATATGGCCTCATTTGATTGGCAAGAATGAGTAGAGGGTGCTTTGAGGAAGAGAGAATGTGAATAGACATATTTTGTGTTCCTATGGTTCTGTGGCAACCTTCTTCATTTCCATTCATAATAGATACATTTGTTATTTTTTTGTTTTACAAATTCATTTCTTTTATTGCAAAACATAATTCAACTACCAGAAGTATTTAAAAAATACGTTTGCACTGATCACTATTGACTACTATGAGATTAACAAAGAAGGCCTCAGGGGAAGCCCTTGATTTTTGTGTTAATCTTTCTTTTGCTTTTAAGAAAAGCTTGGGGGGCTGGGGAGATGGCTCAGTAGGATAAGTGCTTCCCTGGCAAGCGCAAGTGTCTGAGTTCAATCCCCAGTTCCGCGAGGAAAAACAAAAAAAACAAAAACAAAAAAAAAGAAAAGCTTGAAGACTGGGAGACAGCTCAGCTTTACACATTGTATATAAATACTTTTATGTATGTATATATTTATACATATACACAAACATTCATGTACATATAGTCATAAGTGCACACTTACCCTTATACCCTGAACAGTATAGTTTTAAGTGAGTAGTGTTAAAATTCCCATACAAAAAGCATGTTTCCAGATTTTACCTGTTAAGAATTAAAGAGCTATTTTTTAATTTTTAAATTTTTTTTTTATTTATTTACTTGGTGCAGGGTCTTGCTACGCAGCTCAGACTCATAGTGATCCTTGTGTCATGGCCTCCTCAGTGCTGGGATTATAGGCATGCACCACCATACCTGGTTTTGGTGCCTGCTTGGTGCGAGGCCAGCATGGCATGTGGTACTGGGTGTCAAACCCAGGTCTTTGCACTTGCCAGGCAGATACTTATACTGCTGAGCGATCTCCAAAAATTAAAGAGTTATTTTTTTAAATTAAGTTTATTGGTACAATTTAGATATACATCATGATCATATTCATTATAGGGAGTTTGTACCTGTATATGATATATCTTAGTTCCTCTTTTTTTCTTCCATTCTCCTACCCTCTCTTCAGTACCTCTTCCCCTCATTTACAAAGCTTTGTTTGCATTTTATCCTTTTTTTCTTTCTCCTTCTACCCCCAGGTCCTTTTTCCTTTTGAACAATTTCTATTTCATGATATCTATTATATACTTTGGTTCTTATTTACATTTTCAGTTTCTTATATAAGAGAAGCAATGAGATATTTACACATGTATGTCTGTTTTATTTCATTTATGAGAATGGTCTCAAGGGCTGGCTCAGCAGATTAAAGTGCCTGCTTAGGCAGAGCACAGCAGCCAGGGTTCCATCCCTGGTGTACTGTGCTGGCCCCGCCCCCGCCCCCACCCTGGGCATACTCAGATGGCAATTGAGACTTGGTGTGGTAGCATTTACCTGTAATCCCAGCACTTGGGAGGCTGAAAACAAGAATCAGTACAAGTCCAATCTGTGTAGTGAGAGCCTGCAGACCCTGTACTAAAATTAAAAAAAAAAAAAAAAAAAAAAAAAGGTCTCAAGGCGCATAGTAACTGGTTTTCTTTTTTTGATACTGGGACTCAAACTCAGTACTTTTTTATTTTTATTTTTTTCTATTTTTAGGGAAGGGTCTCACTACTAGATCGGACTGGTAGTGATTTGCCTGTTTACAGCTTCCCAAGAGCTGGAATTACAGGAGGTGCACCATCATGCCCTGTCTCAGTTGCTGTCTCAGTGCGCCCTGGGGGCAGGGCTGGTACTTATGTCTGCTTGCAGGCCCTTGTGTCTGCTTGCAGGCACTGTAATCTGCTGAGCTATTTGGCTGGCTCTTTATTTTATTTATTTGTTTAATTTTATTTTTTTCTCATTTTGAAACAAAATCTCATTATGCAGTTGAGACTGGCCTTGAGCTCACTTTGTAGCCCAGGCTGGTATTGAACTCATGACAATCCTCCTGCCTCAGCCTCTGGAGTGCTGGAATCACGGGTGTGCAACCACACCCAGCTTACATCTTTATTTATAGTGATTTTTCAAGTAAAACTACATACTCCAGAGCACAGATAAGGCCCAAATAGGCTTTGTAGAAAATAGAAGGGCTTCTCAAATTTGAGATTAAATGTCTGTATTATTATCATAACTTCCAATTTATTGTGTAAGGGAAGGACACTTGTCACTGATAGATCAAAGCTTCCAAGAAGAGATGAGCTGATCAAAGTGGCTTCAGGCCCCTGCTTGAAACAGGGCCCTTTCTGAAGAAGTTGGGTGGTTTTAGGAAGGAGTTTTAGTCAGTGGGATTGGGGCTGGGCATGTGGAAGACACTAGTGGGGATTAAGTACTGGAAGGACAGTAGACATAAGGTCAGGGAAGTGCATTACCCTGCATTCATGTTTCATAGCTCACCATTTCCTACCTGCAGTTACTAGGGAAGGTCAAAGCCAAATCTTGAAGCTAGGAAAGTGCATGGCTGCTGCTGATTGCTTCCTGCCAGGCTTGTGGGCAAGCAGGAACTGCATCAGTGGGAGCTCAAGCTAAGGCAGCCCTGCCTAGGACAGATAGGGATCTGGACCCCATCTTGGTGTCAGTTCTTAGCTAAACCATAGCTGATCACTGTGCTTCAGGCTGGCCTGGCTGTCTTCTGCTCAGCTGGCTGCAAGCTTCTCTTTAGCTCTCCTGTTGGTTCTTTCCTATATCCTGTATCCTTTTGTATTGATTCTACTCTTTGTAGTGGAATTCAATCTCCAGTAGTATGTAGGACAAGTTACCTTTTTTGGAGTCTTTTATGTCTGAATGTGTTTCAATTCTATACTTGACTGATATTTTGGCTGGTGTTAGTTATGGTTGGAACTGCTTTTCCTTTAGAGTTTTGAAGCTGTTGCTCCATTGTCATCTTTTGCGGAACAGGGGATTGAACTCAGGCCCTTGCGTTTGCCAGGCAAGTGCTTATTCCACTGAGCCATCTCACCGGCCCCTCCATTGTCATCTTGATTCCTGTGTTGAAAATTCCAAGCCATTGTGACCCCTGAGACTGCTGAGATTACAGGTATATGGCACCACATATAGCCATTTGTGAATCTTTTATCCTGGTCATTTATTTATTTATTTAATTTAGTACAGGGTCTATAGGATCTCACAATGTAAATTGGATTTGTAGTGATTCTCCTGTTTTCAGCCTCTCAAGTGCTGGAATTATAGGCACATGCCACCACACCCAATCTCAATCCCTGTCTCAGCATGCC